CCTGCTGACTGATGCCCAGCCAGTCCCTGAGCAGCGATTGCTGCTCCCTGACCAGCTCCCCCCAGTTTATATACTGAGCATGATGTCATATGGTATGGAATATCCCTTTGTCCAGTTTGGGTCAGCTGTCCTGGCTATGCTCCCTGCCAGCTTCTGGTGCACCTCCTTGCTGGCAGAGCATGGGAAGCTGAAAAGTCCTTGACTTAGTTGTTGCTAAGCAGTGCTTATACTAAACCATCAGTGTGTTATCAACATTATTCTCATGCTAAATCCAAAACACAGCACTATGCCAGCTACTAGGAAGAAAGAAAATTAACTCTGTCCCAGCTGAAACCAGGACAGTATCTTATTCTATACCATCTATGTCATGCCCAGGTCCCACACTTTCCAAAGCATTCCAATTAATCACCACCACTTGAGAGGCTTTAACTGCTTGGCTTGTTTGATTGCAGCACAGGTTTCACATTTGAGGATAACCTGTGCAGTAGTGTCCATGGTCAAGTCCACCCCTCGATCACAAGCCTGTCTGTATGTTGCATCTCTTCCTTGATGGCCTGAAGTCTCATGGGCCCACCGAGTTGTAAATAATTCACCCTTATGTTGCCAGTCCAGACCCACCTGAGCCACTTCCATCTTAGCAGCCTGATCCTCCTGCTGGTTGTTTTGATGTTCTTCAGTGGCCCAACTCTTGGGTACGTGAGCATCTACGTGACGTACTTCTACAACCAGATTCTCTACCTGGGCAGTGATATCTTGCCACGATGCGGCGGCCCAGATGGGTTTGCCTCTGCGCTGCCAGTTGCTCTGCTTCCATTGCTGCAGCCACCCCCACAGGGCATTTGCCACCATCCATGAGTCAGTACAGAGATAAAGGACTGGCCACTTTTCTCGTCCAGCAATGTCTAAAGTTAGCGGGATGGCCTTCACTTCCACAAATTGGCTCAATTCACCTTTTCTTTCAGCAGTTTCTGGAACTTGTCATATAGGACTCCGTACAGCGGCCTTCTACCTCCGATGCTTTGCTACAGTACAACAGGACCCGTCAGTGAACAGGGCATATCGCTTCTCATTTTCTGGTAGTTTATTATACAGCGAGGCCTCCTCAGCACATGTCACCTCCTCCTCTGGCGATATTCCAAAATCTTTGCCTTCTGGCCAGTCCACGATCACTTCCAAGATTCCTGCGCGATTACAATTTCCTATTTGAGCCCGTGGGGTGATCAGTGCGATGCACTTACTCCGCGTAGCATCAGCTGCATGCTGCGTAGAGGGGACCCTCCCTTTGCCAAGCTAATATTGCATAGTGACAGGGCTGTGTTCAAAACAACCAGGGTTAAGTCCTCAGTTGCTGCTTTACGTCCTTGGAGCTGGCTGCCTGCAGCTGACCTGGGTGACTGCCGGGCCTGAGAGGCACTCTGAACAGCGTGAAATCGGTGGAGAACTGCTCCAGAGCTGATTTACATCTACATTTACACAAAGAAACAGAAGAGCGAGGGACCTTCCATGGGGCCGTTCTTACTGCTTTATGCACCCCTTGGATCTAGTACATTGCAAATAATAGTTCTTGCAGTGCATGGACATTACCATGGCTGATTCTCACCCCTTCTTGTTTACGACTTTTTACTCCGAGTCTTAAAATTTTAAAAAAATACATCCTGAGCAATGTTACTGTCACAGGTTCAGTTTTGTTTCCCATGGAGAATTAAATTTCTTTCCCAACGTACATTTTGTTAGCTAAATATCGCAAGTACTTTTCACTAGTTCACTGCCTGTGTCCCTCTAATATGCTGACTGCAATCATTTGAATTAGATCCAGCATTTACTGCAAGTCTGCTGCACTTGCAGATGATGAAGCTCTCTTACCCCCTAGTGGAAATGTTTGTCAGTTGTGAGGATTTTATGTAGCCCTTTCGCTCTGTCAAGGCTCCAACTTCCTTGGTAAACATGTTTTTGATGTTTCTGTTGCATTTAAAATATCACAGCATTTCCCTCTTACTGTGTAGTAGCTTGCCTTATTTTCTATTTATTTTCGGGGACTTGTTTACCAAATTTGTGTTGTCTTGTGTTTTTTAAAATCATATTACATCTAATGTTCTAGTTTGGTCTTCCTCTGCAGAAGACTAGATGTCAACTTTGTCTAGCCTAAGGCACTACTTCAGTATGGTTTCTAGATAGTTGCTTAGATAGGTCAAAGACGTTACGTAAGTTGCTCCTCGTCTTAGGCCCCTGGCAAATGTAGGGGTATATATTTTTGGATATAGTATTTTTCTAGGCATTCTGCATTTCAAACCGTCTCAACTAGAGTTTGATGTACAACTGAGGGAAGCCTGAAATTACTTGACTTGAATTTGGTTTTGATTGCAGTTGGTGCGGATAAATTCTATTCTTACTATCAAGATAAAAAAACAGAGGCACTGAACTTTGGCAGCTTTTCCCTCCTTCATTATTTAAATAATAATTTCAGCTTCAGGAAATCGAGCATAAACTAGATAGAAAATTCATTTATTTAACAACATTTCAGGAGGAGGGGTGGGACTTCCATAGACAAGTTTCATACACTCTCTGTATCAATGGTAATATAGCAACCATATTCTTCATGATTATAATAATTTTCATTTCAATGAGTCTGAGGTATTAATGCTCTCAAGATTTGCATGCTTTTTTTCTAAAAACCCGGCATGGTCTCAAATGTTCAAAGCAGCAGATAGGGTTGCAAAGACTTTTTCTATGCACATTAGCATAGCTGATCAAATTTAGATGGCTCTCCTGCCGGAAATGTCTCAAATATGCCTTGAATTTAATCCTTTTGGGTCAATGATTCAGTCCCTGACTATGCAAGCAAACACATTACATGATAGTTTTCAAAAATTAATGATATTTGGTCTACAATTGTCTTTTTGTTCTCAATTTCCTTATTGGGTGACTTTCACAGTGCTAGTTAGTCTTATTTAAAAACTTCCTTGTGGTTTGCAGCTAAGATGAGGTATGTAGTTCTTGTTGTGCCAGCATTGTTCACTGTTTTGTTTTGGTTTTTTTTTTTTTCCCTCTGCTCTGCCACCCATTTGCTTATAAACTGAATTAATTTTCATTTGAAATTTTGTGGCAAAATTGGAGGTCAAAATAGACTAGACAGTAGAAAGAAGTTTTTTACAGTGAGGGTGGTGAAGCACTGGCACAGGTTGCCCAGAGAGGTGGTAGAGGCCCCATCCCTGGCAACGTTCAAGGTCAGGTTGGACGGGGCTCTGAGCACCCTGCTCTGGTTAAAGCTGTCCCTGCTCACTGCAGGGGTTGGGCTGGATGACCTCTAAAGGTCCCTTCCAACCCAAAGCATTCCATGATTCTATGAAAATAGGCAGGCTTTGCTGATGACGGCTCCAAAGGCTATGCCTCCTGCTTTTCGTAAAACCATAGACAAGGATTTTGTCGACAGGACTCTGAGAATGAATTACGTGAATATATTTCAGTTTCTACTTAAGTTTATGTAAGAATTAAGCATTTTAAAATTTTTTTTTTTTTTTTTTTTTTTAGGAAATGTTTGGGGGTTTTGGCTTTGCTAAACATTTCGGTAGGGGCTTAAACTGTAGAAAACTAAATGCTGCTCAGAATTTTTTAATTGATATTTATTACTTTCCTGGCCTACCAAATGAGAAGATTGAAGTAGGAGACTGAAACCTATTACAGAATGGGCTTGCAAAATACCGTTTTGTGTGTTCTTAAACAGGAATATTAAATGGCTTATTAGCGAAGGGCTTGTTTTCTAGGCCGTGTGTGCAGTTCATAGTTAATTGCAGGGAAGAATTTGCAAAATACAAGAGTTCTGAGAATTTTTCATGCCAAAATCTTGATCGAAGGCCAGGAACCTTTACCAGCCTTTGTAAACTGACCCAGAAAGAGAAATGAGACAAACAGGATCTGTAAACAAAGATCACGTGCTCTTCACAAATACATTTTGGAAGGATGGTTGCCTAGGGAAACAGGAAATGGGGAATTATACAACAAACAAAAAGGACTGCCAAACAAATTTGCTGACCTTTTTTCAGGGAATTATGATGAAAACTGCTCAAATCCTCAGTATTTCACCATATTTCTAAATCTGAAGGTGGAACAGAAGAATAGCTTGGTAATTATACCACAACTATTTAGAAAATACAAAAAACTTCCTTGACATCTTTGTCCTAAAGGAAGCAATGCAAAGTTGTGAGCTAAGTAATCCTGAGTTCTTCTTGAATTTTTTTGTGTTTCCCAGCTTTTGCAATTAGGCTTTCTGGAATTGGTGCTTCCTTTTACGGATGAGATAATAACAAAATCACTCTATTCATATCTACAAGGATCATCTAGCTCTATATTGAGGCAGTTTAATCCTCGTTTCTGAGCTGGTAGTCTCCCAGATAGCTCTGCCCATGTTTTTCCCTAGGAAACAGTGGCTCTCGTAATGGTTTTCGTGTTTTCCAGGAGTCACAAATAGGAAGGGAAGAGGAGAATTTGCATTGGACTTGTCCTTAGTAGGGAAGGAGTCAGCCTCTGGGTGATGTTTCTTCTCCTCCTCCCTCTCACCCTGCTTTGGAGGGCATGTGCAAGAAGCAAATTGTTTGCTTGGTGACTTCTGCACGCCTCCTATTTTGAGATGTGCCATTTCAGTTTTAAGTTGTGGTAAATAACGAGATCGCTGTGGAGGAGAGGTCGTAGAAAATACCAGCTTGGGATCACTCAGTCCCAAGTTTTGGTTTTAAATGAAAGATGAAGAGGTGAAAGTAATTAAAAGGAAGAAAATGGGCAAACTAGGTAGTAATGTTAAACTTGAGACGCTCTTTATCCCAGAATACTGTGCTCTTTATCCCAGAATACTGAAGAGGTCGTTATGTGAAATCCCATGCTTGTACCATGGATATTAGAAAATCTGCTGAATTGCAGGGGGAGGGAAATGCATTTGTCTGATCCCTGGATCCTTTCCTGTATTCTCTGTTGTTTTCAGGCTGTAACTTTTTTTTTTTTTTGGTCAGTTCCAATGACAGGTTTCACTCAAAGGGCTACCATTGATCCAGAACTGAATGAAATCCACGTCTTGTCAGGGCTCAGTAAAGACAAGGAGAAGCGGGAAGAGAATGTAAGGAATTCCTTCTGGATTTATGACATTGTGAGGAACAGCTGGTAAGTCGATGAAAGGGGTGCTATTTCTACATCTACACTGACTTTCTTTAGAAAGCAATCCTACACGATCCTGTCTGCCAGGTAACTCTGTAACCTCTTATGACCATGGGATAGTAACATTGACAACAACTGAGTTCCCTTGAGGGATGTCTTTTACCAGTAGTCTTTAGAGACACCGTGGCAATAAGCCAAATGAGGGAGAGAAATCATGTGAACATTATTGGAGGCAGGTGGAGGGGATGCGTAAGCCATTGTAAGTAGTTTTTCCTGTAGGAAATGTTCAAGGCCAGGATTCATCAGTGCAGCAAATACAGTCAAATGTAAGTTGTTAATAGCAATGTACATGGTACTGGTTATTAGAAACTAAGGGAACTGGTCTGCTGTATGAGCAGTGATGGAGAAATCTTCATGCTAGATCTATCAGCTCTTTCCAGGCTGCATGCAGTGCTACTTCAGGTAGCTGCCAGTATTCTGAGAAAATATCTCCTCATCTGTTTGCTGTCTGGTATTTGGTAGTTGGTTGCCACTGCCCCTTTCCAGAGCTGGCAACGTTTTTGTGATCAAGGTCTCTTCTAATCTGGGGCCAATCACTTTGAAGGGTGTGAACACTTTTTTAAAAATGGGGTTTCGGTTGGGAAAACCAATTTAAGTCTGCTTGGAAATCAGTGATTGAAATGCTTTGAAAAATTTTGCTGAAGTATCTGGCCTGTAGCTCTGCTGTATCCAAGATGGTATTCTCCATAATGAAAAATACTTCATGCTGACAATTCTGCTAGCAAATAATGCAACATCTTAAGATACCTCCAAAGCTTATGATATAAAATTTTCTAGAATTTTTTCCTGTTTTGCTTGTGATTTGCTTGTGACTGTGTTCAGCCAAGGTGACCTCTGTTGGATGGGTTTCTTTGTTGAGCTAAGAATGGGGATGGGGTAATAGAGGACAATATATAGAGAAGTGAGAAAATCTTTCGTGTTCTATGCCAAGCAGTTCAAATTGACAGCATTTGTACCTTATAGCCTTTCACTAACTTTTTCTACTTCCTATAGGTACTAATTGTTACTTACTGCCTTGTATTTCAGGTCTTGTGTCTATAAGAATGACCAAGCAGCAAAAGAGAATCCAGGTAAAAGCCTTCAGGAAGAGGAGCCCTGCCCAAGGTTTGCTCATCAACTGGTGTATGATGAGTTGCACAAGGTATGAGGGTCCACATACATACAGGGTGATTTTTTTTTTTTTTTTTTTTTTTAAAGTCTTACTGCTCTTCTGGTGTAGTTGCTTCTTCAAAGATGGTACAATGAATATAGCTTTTTGTATAGTGTTAATGTTTGGGTTAATGTGGTGGGTAACTTGCATTTAACTTATCTTTGAAATAAGGTGCTAAGCTACTTTTTATGTCAATGTGAAGTAGACATGATAGCTTCTAGATGAAATCAAAATGCAGACAATGGGATATACTCAACCTCTGCAAAGTTCTCAAGTGGCTAGCTCCTAGCTGTTCTCATACTTGAGAACACTTGAAGCTTTGTTCATTATCTTCAGGGACTTAATGTCACACCCTGTTAGTGAATAAATAGTCACAGATAGTTACCAACATTTCTAGGAGAAAGTGTGTTTGAATGAACTAATCACTGTTAAGAACCTGCTCTAACAGAGGTGCCTTACTCTGCCCGGCATGTCAGAAGCAACTGCCCTTCTTTAGCACTGTCTGACTTCAATGGGTATGTTCATGCTTAAAAATACTTAAAATTGTTTGTAGCGTACATGACTGCTCAGCAAAGTTAGGGCTTTGTGCATATTAATCTGTGGGTTGTGCTTTATTGGTTAGGTTACCATAACTTCATTAACCTATGAATTTAAATTACTGTGACACACTTACTTAACCTTTCATGGATATTTTGCAATTAAACTTTTTCTAAAATATTTTTTAGTCTGAAACAGTCTGAACTGAAAAAGACAAATATACTTTAGTCTTATCATTCCTTGGGATGTTTATCAAATTTGGGAAAGCCAGCTAGCCCAGAAATTTGGGGATAAGGGGGATTTTAAGGAGGAATAGGTGTAACTTCTGTATGGGGAACTTGTATGGTTTGTCTTCATCACGGACATTAATGTTGGACAGTAAATACTGTTCTGCCTTTAATGGCTTACTTCTAAGTGTAAGGTACCATGAGATTGAGAGTAGTATTTTATAAGTTACTGTCAAGGTTGCTAAATCATGGCAGTTGCCCAGCTCTATCTGAAGAGCTGTTTGATGTACTTGTTTTGAAGAGTCTTATTTTTAGAAACTCTGTTCAAACGACCTTTCTAAACTCCTCTGATATAAATAAGGAGAGCATGCTTCAGTGGGATGCAGAATACATTGTTTTGAGTGATTATTTTTAAAGCTGTGGAGAAAGGTAGCCTGTTGGATTTCTTGAACCTCAGTATTTGAAGACCCTTTGTGACACACTTCATATCAACAGTTCAGAGTCTGAAATGCCAAATGATGTGAAGAAAAAAAGAATTGAAGAAATAAACGGTCCTTTTTTAACACTTCCACTTTTCTTGAGACTTGCTGCTCTCTGTAAGTCTAGCCTGGCATTTCAGAGGTGTTTTATCCTGAAATTATCAGAATGGCTGTTAAGGACTACTTCATTTGAGCTACCTTGAACGAAAAAAATGAATTTTGCATAGAGGTATATTTAGTATTTCCATGATTGGCATCTCAGGATTGCTAGAACTTTTTTTGAAGACAATCACAGTAATGGTTGTGAATTCTAATTCTAAGTAAGATTGGTGTTTTCTTCCGCAGTTGTTCTTAGGATTACAGTTTTGGCTTTTTGTGTTACTCTTTACTTAGCTCTTTGCTTTGTGCCCAGGTAGTGTATTGAGTGTCTTGCAGCTAGGCTGCTGTATTGAGGTGAGACAAATCTACCCTTCCAGCAACCATGGAAATACTTTCCTTGGCAAGTCAAATTAAGGCTCTGTAGAGTTTATGGGACATGCGGGGACACAAGCCTGTTGGTCATCTCCCAAGATTATGCTGAACTGGACTTGTTGTCACTTTGAACATCTTTAAGACTTCCCCGCTCACTTTGCCAGTGGCCCTTGTCTTTGGAGAAGATAATGGTCTTTGCTGACTCAAGGAAAAGGCTGCTTGCCTGAACTGTGGTGCTTTAGTAGTGCAGCTTTGCCAACAGTGCTCTGACTGGAGCCAGAGCATTAGTTGACAAAGTCCCTTTTTTTCTGAGTCTTCCTTACAAGCATAGATGTTTCTTCTTCAAAGAAAATGTGTGCTTGCTGGAGTCATCTCACAATTATATGGGTATAACCTGCTCATCCCCAAATTAGAGAAGGGCTTAATACAGGTGCCTTAATTTAGCCTCTCCTGACAAAGAGAATTTGGAGTCTTTGAGGACAAGATTGGAGAAGAGGTTGGTAATCTATCAGTTTGAGTATTGTTTGCATCAAGTATTTTGAACAGGGCAACAAGAGTTGGCTCAGATCCTTCTTTTCTGCTCATATCTTATGTACTTAAGGATTTGTCATGCTCATAGGTTTCTCCTAAAGAAAGAGATTGCATGGTTTGTGGATTTTTGTTTATAAATATCTCGGGAATCTGTGAGAGGGAGGTTCTAACAGTGCGGCTGTTTTTATTATCTTAAAATGTAAGCAGTTTAAAAGAACTTTCTTCATCTCCTAGGGGACAAAGTAAGGTTATTAATAAGATGGAGCAGCTTGTTTAAAAGGCAGAGTTTTCTCCCTCTAGAATAAACCTCTCCAAAGATGCTGATACAGTAAATAGTCTTTGTTTAACGGATGTACACAATCAACTTTTTGATCTGCCTCCCATTTGCTTAGGTTCATTACTTATTTGGAGGGAATCCTGGAAAGTCCTGCTCTCCAAAGATGAGATTAGATGATTTCTGGTCTCTCAAGCTCTGCCGACCTTCAAAGGAATACCTGCTCAGACACTGCAAATACCTCATAAGAAAGCACAGGTATAGAAACAAGAGACGTTTTGCAATTGTCTTTTCCAAAGTGTTGTCTTTTTTTAATTTGCTAAAACTTGAATATCTTGTAAACTCTTTTGGGAAATGTCAATTTGTTGGTTATATGATGATCTACAGGTTTCTTGATTATTTTTAATTTTTTAAAAAAATAGTAATAAAAAGCAGTGGGGCAGGGCTAAACTACAAAATTAACTTCATTCTGTTTTTAACCTAGTTATTCTAAAACTAGAAAAATCTGGCTACGGTGTGGGGAGCCATGGGGAATTTTTAGATTCCCTTTTCACTCTGCTGCTCATCAACATGTGTTTTGGTACTGTCACCTCCCAAGGAAATGGAGTATGTTTCTGAAACACTGTGCTAGGAGATAGTAACAGCTCACAAGGATGCTAATGAAGTCTGGGAGCTGGATTCCTTTGCACATCTGAGTCTCAACTGTGGTGAGGTCATCAGAGTTTCTCATTCAGAATTGCTTGAAAGATCTCACTTATGCAGAATTCAGCTACACTACGATGCTTCTTGCACTCTGGATGTTTCAGAGCTGCCTTATATTTGCTATTTAGGGCAACAGCTTTTCAAAATCAAGCTTATGGTGTTGCCTTAAGCAAGAAATTGCAGCAGAAAGGCAGCCTTTCAAGACCCAGAAAATTATTTGAAGCCAATAGATAAGTCTTTCTGCATTCTTGGTGAGAATATTTTGTTACTGGGTTCTGCCAAGAGTTGGAGGTCATTTTTTACTGACGGTATTTTACTTCTGAGGCAGCAAGCAAATTGCTGTGCTCGATGTGAGTGGATGGCTGAGGCCCTTTGCAGATTAGCCACGCAGTAGAAGTGAATACCTACAAGAATGAATAAAGGTCTTGCCCAGTAATCTGGGAGGTTTATTAAACCCATGTGTGGTAGTATGCAAATGCAGCTATACAGCCTCCATAGACAGCTCTGGATTACTTGTTTTTACTTGCTTAAATTGCACTCAGAGGAAGTGTTGCTGCTTATTATCTGGCAGAAGTTTGGGGTTTGTGCTCCATGCTCCCGTTTTTTGGGGTCCATTTTAAGGAGCCGAACATGACCAGCCAGGGACCGGTATGATGGGTGCTTTGCTGGAGTTCGCGTGCCTCTCGGGGCTGGAGCTGAACTGCTGCGGAGTCACTTGGCTGCCCGTTATCTGCACTCCCTCCAGCTCTAGGTACCAAAACAGGTACTTGGCTTGCGTACACAGCAAATCCACTGCATCAGCTGGAGTCCTGTTTGGCCTGTTAACTCGTTTAGTACCAGTCAGCCATAGCAGAGCCAAGCTGGCCAAGCATAGAAGAGGAAGGTGTCGATGGTGCCACTTATTTAAGGTACTGCAGCTCTCTGGACCATGGCAATATCATATAAGAAAATCTACGTAAATGTTTGGAATAATTCACATTTAATTACCAAAATGTTGTGTAAGTCAGGTAACAGATGCAGTCTTTGTGCTCCATGTGCTGGCTCAACGACTTGCATCTTTAGACAGTTTCAAAATTTGGGCTACAGATGTCCACTACAGTATAAATAGCCAAGTAGATGAGCCAAATAAAAAATAACAATGTGATTAAATCTATTCAGTGTGACTTCTTTCAGTTTGACAAGCTATACCCTGTTAAAGGTAACTGAAATATATTATGAATAAAGTAACTTGTGTTCCTGTAAGGCAGTTGATACAAGGCAATTAAGTAACCAAGAACATGGTTTTTAGGGCTTTCATCTCTGGAATCCAGAATTGCCTGAGCTGTTTTCATGGGGAGGCTTAATACTGTGTATTGGTGATTCAGAAGATGACAAACAGAGTGCAATGCTGCACTTGGTGGATAGGTAATAGGGGGAAAAATAATTTTCAGCCTCATCTTTTCTAGGCTTATGCACCCAACTCAGTGCTGCAGGGAAGTAGCTCTGCTCACTGAGTATGCTGAGCCCAGGATCGTTTTCCAAGGGGTATATTAACTTTGTCAGGGAATTAACAGAAGTTACAGTTTCAGTTTGTTAAAAGACAGTGAGAAAATAATGGTGGTGGTGGTGCACAGGATTTTTACATACATGTGGTCTTTCCAAAGGTGGGATATTAAGGTGCAGTATTCATTGAATCCAGAGGTTTCTACCCCCATCGTCCCTCTTTCTGTTTTCCGGGAGAAGCAGGGAGTGTTCTCCGTCCCTGTACTTCCAGTTAACGCTTCTGTGCAGCCAGGAGTGTAAATATTCCTGGGACTGGAGTGCTCAAGCTTGTCTGTATCTGAACTGCGCTCCTCACATGAGGTGCTACTTGTACCTTACTTTATTTGTGGAAAACAAACTGTACTAAATGTTTTATATTTATGTATGACAAAGTTGCTGTACATATGCTTTTGAACATTTTTGGTAAGAGCGTCATACTTTACCCTTGTAATTCCCATACACCCCCAAAAAACCCTCCTCTGTGTTTCAGTCTGGCTTGAAAGCACGTGCGCCAGCAAATATGAGGCTGAGCTGCCATTAACGTTGTTTTATTTGGAAATATTTGGCTTTAAGTTTCGTTTGATAGGTTTTGCTCTTTGTAGAAATAGTAGTACTTAGTCCTGAAGGAAATGGTTGCGCTCATGTTTTCTGTCTCTTCTTTGCAGGTTTGAAGAAAAAGCTCAGACTGATCCTCTTAGTGCACTGAAGTACCTGCAGAATGATTTGTATGTAACTGTGGATCACTCAGACCCCGAGGAGACAAAAGAGGTAGTGATGAACGATCTTTGTCTTAAAGAAATGTAAACTGTGTTCTTATGTGGAAGCTTTAAGCCTCTTAAACCTTGTTTTTATTCAGTTTGAAAAGGTTCTACAGGTGCATAACACTGCTATATCATATATTTCCCCACACTAAAGATCATACTGCTTTAGAAAGAATATTTTACAACTGCAGTTCCAGATAAAATAACTTTGGTACTCATAATAGTGAAGTCTAGACCTTTGTTTTAATTCCAACGTGCTGGTGTATTTGGGGAGCTTTAGTTGAAATGTAAACTCTCTGAAATGTCACGAGTCTGTCGTCGGTTGTGTGGTAGAAAGCAAATAGCAACTCTTATTTACGCTGCCTTTTGGCTTGTTAATATTAAATAGCTCTGGGGGAGGGAAGGAGGTTTTTCTGTAGATGATAAGTATTTCTGGAAGTAGATTGTATATATACATTGGTCGCTAACCTTAAACTCTTGTTTCCTCTGCCTTTTGAATATTGTCCAGTAGGCATGTTCTTTTATTTGTTCCAGGAATTTGTTCCCATTTCCTGTTTTGATTCCATTACTGCAGTATGTGTCACTTTAAAAAAAGGATTAAAGAAACAGCGAAAAGGGTCAGATAAGGTGGTTGATTTGACTCTGCCATTAATTTCCACATGGAATGTGGGGTAGCCAGCTGGATGTACAAGCGTTTGGCTCCTAATGGGTAGATGAGGAAGAGGAGACCACGGTTCTTGCTCTCTTCTTGCGTTAATGACTTTGGAAGTGATTCGACAGCTCCTTTTATAAAACTGCGATAGGAGAATGGGAGCTGTTGTTCCATGCTGAGTCTCTGGATTAAATCGCTTAATCTGTTGGTTTTAACTCATTACTTTAGATGAAGAAAAGATCATTATCCAGGCACTAAAAGCTTTTGCGGGGGAATATCCTTCTTGCATATGCACAGTATAGAATTGTAGGGTTAGCAAAATCAAGAAAAAATATTTACTGTATCAGGATCTTGTAACTGATCACATTTGTCATAAATTCTGGTTAGCTTTTTATAAACATCTGGTCCAATAAAACATTTAAGTGCTGTGCCTGTAAGTTCTCTGTTAGATGGTTTGTCACTGAAAGTGTCCTGTATCAAGTACTGTCACATCTTTTCTAGCCACTTCTAGCATAGGAAAGACAATCCTGCTTCTCTTCAGCTGGAAAAGGAGGCTTCTCCCATGCAGTGTGCTTCAAGGGGGCTCAGCCCAATTATGCCCCGATTTAGCAGTGTGGTAGCACTTTCATCTTCCTAACTGAACTTGTAATAACCTGTAACACACGACAACCATTTTGATGCTCTCTTTTCCCCTTCTCCCTCCCACCCACTATAAGACTGTGTCCTGTGTTCTCTGATCTCCCTTTTCCTCCGTGTCATACCTGTGTGCTGGTAGCCCCATCATGCCTGTGAAGGCCATGTCTCTCTTTGGCCAGTTACTCCTAAAGAGATCTTGCATCTCGTGGCTGGCTGTGCCTTCTCATTGCTTGAACAGAAAACATTTGTGGTGTGATCAGCAAGCTCCTCTCCTTTCAGTTCTTGCTGCCTACTGTCACCAGGAGGCCAAAGGAACTGCCATAAAGGCTGCACGTTGTGCACATCTGGCATAGGAAATCATTTAATAGTCTACATTTGATATTCCTAGTTCAGTGTGTAGTATTCAACTTGTCCACCTTGCAAGAATGAAGAATTTACCTGACTGCATGGACTCCTGAGATTTGGGGGAAAAGTAGCTTTATCATACAAGGCAGAAATAGACTAAAACATTTTTAAAAGAGCGTACTAATGTTCTGCAGGTTAATGATCTAGTGTATGAACTTAGGTAGGCTCAGTCCAGATGAGTAAATATATTGTGAATCCTTCCTATGCAGACCTAATGCCTGATCCGAACAAAATTCCGTGGCTTCTGTCCGTTGTGCTGGTCAGTCAGACCAACGCATATTGTTCAGCAAATTTAAAGCTTTGGTTCCAGTGGTCTCCTAAAATCATTTAACAATTTCTGGGAAGCTTTTTTGTGGGTGGGCTTTTTTGTTTGGTTGGTTTTGTTTTGTCTTGGGTCTTCCCCCCCCCAATTATGCCGGTCAAAAAGCTTTAACTTCCAAAGCTTTTTACACTGGAACAGATCTGCCAGGTAGATGGCACAGAGCCAGCTACTGCACTGGTACTGACTGGGTGTATTTCCAGTTGACGTCAGTTTACCTTCTGGTTATCACATTGAGTTGGCTTTTTGCTCTGGCATTACATCTTCAAATAGCTCTTGTGCTTTCCAAAGGACTGACGCAGGCTTTTTTGGATTCCATATCAAATTTCAGCCATTGGTTTGAGTGTGTATCTCAGCCCAGACACCTACATACTCTGTCTTTATTTGTAGTTGAGATGTCTTAATATCAACGGCTGTATATCTGATCAGTTTGCTCTGTGCTGGCTACAGCCATTGAACGTTGTAAGGCTTCTTAGCGTAGGCTTCTTTCTTAGTGTAGCAAATCTTATGGGAATTGTTTTTTTCCCCTCTTCTTTTCCCTCTCTCCAGGGCGACTGTTAAATTGGGGAAGGAGCAAACTGAATAGGGGTATCGCTGATTTTGTGCTACAGTTCTCTTAGAGATTAGTCTATATGGTTTCATGTTTTATGGCTTGAGATATGGGTAGTATTATAATATTACAAGCCGAATTTCACTTTGAGGTAAGGCTTACTTGCTGTATAATAGAAGTAATTGCTTCTAACTTTGTTAGGCAAGTATCTTCAGCTGTTTTGAGTTGGATGCCAAAGAAAATAAACAGACTGTTCTCGAAACTCACTTCGTCGTTAGTAACCAATTTTGTTTAAAGTAGCATGAATGATTGACAGTAGGAACATACCCCCAGATTTTCATTCCTTTGTTGTGAATTTTGGGGATGTTAATAAGATTATAGTTTTAGTTCCTTTTTTATTATTCTGGACGTGAAGTAAATGCCTGCAAGTAACAGCTATCACACGGATGCTTGTTTTAGTAGCCACAGGCTATATGCCAGCTCTGCCTCTGCCTGCAACCGCAGATCCAGTTCTCTTTAACTGTGATTCTGCTTGAAATCGCTTAAACTTCTTCAGTTAGTATAGTGTTTTCAGATCAGTGAATCTTTTTTACTGTCTGTGGATTAATAGCTCTGACACTGTATGTAAAGGAAGGTAGATCCCCAGAGCACATGGAAGTTTGTCTGTGTATTCTAGTTCATGGAGAGATTAAAGTCATAAAAGACTGGCATTTGTTGGTGTAAAAATTTCTGGTTGCATGGGTGTTCTATGTGATAGACACACAGATGTGCATTTGGTGGTAGTTTGGAAGTAGAGGCTTTTAAAGATAGAAGGATGGTCAAAATAGAAAATGAAAGTGAATTCCAAGTTTTGTACTTACGTCAAGGAAAAAACAGGTGCTATTAAAGCACAAAAACATCAGTAGATCACATACAAGGCTAAAGGTGGTGTTCTTTGAACACTGGAGTTATCGTACCCAGAACTTTGCAGCTGCTTAGTGGGCTATAGAAGAAATCAAGACGATATGGCCAGTGCTGCCCAAGTAAAGGAGAGTAAGATGATTTTGTACGTTGAGATTGAGATTCAACTACTGGTGAAGCTCAATCCCGTGATTGCTGTAGAACAGATACAAAGTGCAAGTAGAACTTGCAGTATGTTTTTCTTGGAACATGGTAGGAGAAAGAGCAAGGACCTGGAGGCCAATTTGAGGCCTGACTAGCTTGTAGACTGAGGCTGGAGGCCCCTGTTCAAGGCTGCTTCATACTTTCCATTCTTAAGACCTTGTCTCTAATAAATTTGCCAGATAAAGCCAGCGGGGCCCAGAAGTATTGTTTGAGTCTGCATTAGACTGATATTTCTGGGAAAATTGAATGGGAAAAATAGTTCTAGGAAGGAGCTAAGAAAAGCATGCTTCTCTTCTTCGTGTCCTGCTGTGATTCTTTGTAAAGCCTCAGGGTCTGAGTGCTGCAGGAGCAGAGGCTTTGGAACCAAGGAGCCTTTACAAAAACAGTGTTCAGCCTTCCCAACTTCAGCTAGTGACAGCTCTGTCCTCAAAGAATTTGAGCTTCTCATTGCTTCTTTGAGCCTACGCTGCGAGGCACCATCCCAACAGAACTGGTCAAAGCTGAGAAACTGTTTCACGCTGTGATCTGAGTGCTCACCGTACAGATAGTACAGAGGAGGAATTAATGTCTGATTCATACAACCTGCCGGATATCCCAAACAGGAGTTACTCATTCCCTTTAGTGTCAACTGTTTCATTTTCGCAAAAGGCAGAGGCGTGCAGCAAATATACTAAAACTTGCGTCGGTTGCCACGTGGCAGAATTGCTTTTTTGCTATGGGTAGAAACCCAGATAAAGTACACACAACTGATAAAAGAACAATAATGTTGCAAACATGAAGATTGTAAATTGGAAAATGCCAGAATTAATATTACCCATGTAGTCTTAATTTGGCCTCTCTGAATGTGGTTGATTATATTGGTTAACCTCATATTAGTTAGCCGGATATATATAACTAATGCACCGGATATATAACTAACCTAGCCTTATATTACATAACCAGATATATTTATCTCTAAAGAACCCCTGCCTCAGTTCAGAAGGTGGGTTGGATCTCCGAGACAGAAGTTAATTGTACAAAAAAGGGAACTGTTGTCTCTTGAATGGAAGCTTAATTTGGAATGGATGAAGCCAGTGGGCCAGAGGGAGTGTCAGAAGAAAATGGGTGGTGGTGTGATTAAAGCAGCTTGGTGCTTCTGCTGGATAATTGAATTCTGGTCCTGCCTCTGTAACAGAGTTGCTACGTGACGTTAAGCAAATTGTTTTTCTTAGATGGTCATTAACTGGGTCTTTCATTCTGGGCCTGATGGGAGAGATCCGCGATGTGATTTGCTTGAAGGCTTTGCTCTTCTGGCTGCAAGCAAATTCAGAAGAAGCTAGGTAATATGAAGTATTTTGAAAAATCAGATTCTGGTAGTTTCAAATAGGAGAGCCAAAATTAGTCAGAATTCGAAGTGCTATGTGTTATAACAATTAATACAATAGAAAGACCTGATGAAGAAATTAATTCCTTCTTTAGAGCAGAGTTTGAACTTCATGAAGAAAATACTGCATTGGATATGTGCTGCAGACGGTGTGTAGGAGACCTGGTCTTGAGTAAGCAGTAACTGTCCTGTGCGTTGGGGAAAAAAGTAGGGGTCCTTTGGCAGAACATCAGATGGTTAGCTGGCAGTGTAATGCAGACACAGAGTGAACCAGCTTAGGCTCAGTGCTGTCTGTAACTGATGTGCTTGACTTGTCTATCAGAAAGTGCTTTTCAAATGTGAGGTGACACATAAAATAGAATTTCAAAACAACAACAAACCTCAAGGTTAACTGAAGTGCAGTGTCATCAGTGAAGGAGGAGACAAGATACTCCTTCCCCACAAAGCTGGAGAGAAACTTGTAGCCGTGAAAATCCATCATGTGTGGTGCAGATGAGGCTGGGATGCTTGGCAGAGGGTCTTTCCGATGCATTTTTTGGTCTCAGCTCAGCTAAGTTACTAGCTGGATCCTGCGTATATGGTCTCTTAGTTGAGCAACCTGAGACCCAGCCTCAAGCACAGCTTGCTTTCTGTTTACAGCAGGGCGGCTGCTGGTGTTGCTGGGGGAGGCAAGGGAACTCCTCAAAGCATGTGGCATCCGCTTTGTCCCGGCATAGCCGGCTTCGTGTGCTACAGGCAGTTGGCAGCAGGCCTGTGAGGCAATTGTGTGTGAGGGAAAGGAGGCCAGGATGTGGCATTCGCTATCAGAAGGAGCACAGATTTAGGCACCGGTTTTACTGGAACTTTTGGAGCTATTTATGCTGGGCATCTGTTTAAGTACGCTGCTGATTCGGAGCCAAACAACTCTCAGAAGTTACACTAGCAGTGAAATAGATGTGTAGCATTGCAGTCCCTTTTGATTTCATTATAACCAGCCCTCTCACTCAAGAGAGTACTTAATCAACCTCTTCCCCCTGTTCTGCAGTCTGTCAATCCTGTGTCTTTCTAACCTGTTCTTAAATACCTCCAGCGCTAGCTTCCTGTGATAGCCTCCCATAAAGATGCAAATGTATTCCGGTGCATTACAGTCCTTGTTTTAGACTGTTTTTTTCTTGATGTCATGTTAAAACTCATCTTGAAGTGTTTTTGTGGCTTCTTGCATTTAGTTGTAGACTTACCTTTTTGTAGCAGCCTTTTACTTTTGTGACTTCTTGCAGTTTCATCCTTGGACGTTCTTCTGTGGAAGCTCTGCAACCCTGACTCCTTTGAACTTTCTTTTATAGAGCTTGATTTTCAGACCACTTGATTCTTTTCTAGTGCTTTCCTCATGGGTTGCTAGTTGATACAGGGCATCCAAAAGTGGTTGCCGTATTGTAGATGAGACTTACAAGCCTTGATAACAGCAGGAGTGCTTGATTTAAGATCCTACTCCTTTTCATGCATTTTCTACGCGTTTGTCATTTTTGCAATAGGACAATACTGATCTATTATAACTCCTAAATGTGTTTTTACAGAGCCTATGAACCATGACCTGTTTGGTGTAGCTGATTCTTCCTGTTTATTTTGATTTGCACTTGGCCCTAGTGAACTGCACCTTGATCCATCACTATAAGCTGGATGAAATAGAAAAGCAGTCTGAAGCCTGTCTGCTACCATGCTGGCAGTCTGTCTGAGCGTGGTGTAATAAGGTCTGTGGACTCGGTGAACGCGTCCTGTCATGCAGGTTATCACTGAAAACCCAGAATGATGCTGACCATGGGGCACAGATGAATCGTTTGTGATTCATGGCTCCATTTTGATGTCGAACCATTGATGGCTACCCACACTAAAGTGATTTGACCTACTTGCCACTCCGTGTTAGCTTAATCTAGGTGATACCTTGATAATTTGCCTTAAATATCATATAAAGGTATCAGAAGTCCTATGAAAGTCAAAATGGATGATGTCTATTGCCAAGTCCCATCCGTGCGGCCTGCTGCCTTGTTGTGGAAGAAATCAGATTGATGTGATACAACTTGTTGCCACATCCACATTGGCTGCTACTCAGCACCTTCTCCACTCCTAGATGCCTGCAAATTGTCTGTGTTCCCATTTTTTTCTTGACGTTGAAATTAAACTGATGGATGTGTAATTCCTGGCTGTTCTTTCCACTCCTTCCCTGAACATTTGCTTCTCTTCTGTTCCCCCCCCTCCCTTTCTTTCCTTCTGGTTGTGTGCTGTAAAGGCATACAGACAGGAGACAAAAGATTACAAGCCTTTAAGGGATCAGCTGATTCTTTAAGGAAACATGACAAAGCACTAAGCTTTGCTACAAGGTGGGTAACTGAAAACAGCAGCCTGGAGCAGAGGAAGATACTGTCTTCGCTGTCTGTCACTAAAACATTAAGGGAGAACAAAACCGTGAATGTGTTACTTAAAAGGTTTTTACTCATGATTCTGATGTTCCCAAGCAAAAAACTTTTTTTTCAGTTGAAAAGACATTGCCTTAAACTTGTGATATGAGCTGCTTCGGCAGTTCAGAACGGTTGTTGCCATTTAAAGCTTTCTCTGTGTGTAAGAAGTTCATGCTGCACTGTGGCAGTGACCCTGTTTTCGAGCCATCTAATCCTTGCTTGCTGAGACCGTACCATGTTCATCCTTGGGAATGTTGTTGTGTGGAAGAGGCTCTACCTTACTTCTTTGCTGCGGTATCTGCCAGAGAGGCAAAAAAGTATATATAAAAAATTAGGATTTAGGGCTCCCAGTCAAGTACCTTTCATTGCATCAACACTGCCAACTTGCTCTGCCAAGATGACAAATCGTATTGCTCATACAAAAGTGTCTGCCGATGTTACTCGTATGTATCGCACAGTAGATGTAAGGTTTGTGCAAAGGAGACCCAGAAACTCTAAAGCTACTTGGACTTCTATAAATTTTTTGGGTGTTTTTCCTGTGCAGTTTGTAACACTTTTTTTCTTTCTTTGTCCCTCCACCTCCTCTTCTGCAGTTTCAGCTTCTTGCCTCAGCATTATTTAAGTCTGGCTCGGATTTCACCACTCTTGGTGAGTATTGAGTAAAGGAGAATTATTATACTAAGTATGTTCCCTCTGATAAAGGTCATTACTATTAGTTTCTATTGTTTTTTTATATCAAATGTCATAATTCATATGAATATTGTAGGCCCTCTTTGGTTTGAATATGCAAAGTGCCACTACTTAGACATTTGAGAGATTATTTATAATGACCAGTGTCCAATGCCTCGAGCCCATATTTAAAACATCTGTCACCAGTGGTTTTAAACCCATGGCTCCTGGGATCATTTTCTGTGTCTTATTACATCTGATGCTTCACTGTTACCCAAATAAACAGAAGCTTTGGTCAGAATAAAGCACCTCCTGTCATGTCACTTTGGAATCTCACAGCATGGCTAGAGCTCTGTTTGCTGTGATAACTGCAATTCCTGGAGTAGTTTGGTTCGCTCTGTTCTCTGCAAAACTAGTTCTTTGGGCAGAATGTCAAGAGTGAAGAAAACAGTGGCATGTAGGGCTGGAAACAGGAGGTCTGAGCCAAAGCCATAATTTGTTTCACTATTCTGTCCAGTTAACTCTTTTAAACAGTTGAGAAATTAATCCTGGGTAAGCTATAGGAAGGCTATAGGCATAACTTCCATTCTTGTGATGATGTGTTGTCCTCAAGTTACCGAGCTCTTGCTAGGAGTACGGATGACTTCAACTTTTGACGAACGTGTAATTCCCAATCTAAGGAATTGAGGGAAGGAAAAGGCCCCCTGCACACTCTGCCCTGCTGGATGAGGAAGCTCTGCTGAGCTCCTGTGTTTTGGAAGACGTTATCTAGTTGATGCTATAAGATGAATTTTTTAAAGGAAGAAACCCCAAGTTTCAGGAAGTTGTTTGTTCCCTAGTTTTAAATGTTCTAAAAAGATTAATTAGTTCTTGACACAATACAATACTTTATTCAGGGCTTGGCTTAACACATAGGAGGATACATACATCAAGTGGTGTTTCTAAAAGAAAACAAAAACCCCAAGCCCTCCTTGATTTGATTAACTTGGTTGACTTTGATTAATTGAAGAGTGAGTTCACTGAATTAAAAAGCATTCCTTTGAGATACCAGTGATTGAAGTAATACAAAGCAGAGGAAATCGTTGTATGCCCGCTCTATTGTTCTTGCTGTTGATGGTTTAAGTATGGGGATTTGGATCAACAATGCTTCTGCTGCAGACTAAACCCTCCCGTGTTGGGAGGTGGCACTTCACACAACTAGTTTGCAAAGCACCCTTGTGCCAAGATGCAGCCTGGGTCCTCGCTACAAGTCCGGTGATTAAACAGCAGCTCTGACTTGGGACTCCTACTGTCAGCAGAGCTTGTCTCAAGAAAAACTGCAAGCAATACAAGTACCGGTTCTGGTTAAGACAGTAGTGAAGATAATGAGGGAAGCCTGAGGACAGAAGAAATGAGGCACCAAATAAAAATAGCTACGCAGATTTTGTTTTCTGGGACATCAGAGCAGTCCCCTGAGGACTCTTGCTTCCCCCATTTCTTCAGGACTGTCAATGAGCTTGACAGCCGTTTGCTTTCTTACTTTTTATGGCATTTTGATTGCAGTGTTGGCTTGGGGTGATGTGATCTTTGTGTGTATGCGCACATAGTAGTGGGACGGAGAACTGGCAGCCTTGTTAGTTAATTGAGGCAGAAGTGGCAAATAGTTAACATCAGTCCAAAATGGACTACTGGCATACTCCACAGCTAAACTAAGCATTTGAAGTAGTGAGCACTGACTTGCTCTCCCCTTTTCTTCCTCCCCCAGGATTTTCAGATGTTGACCACACGTATGCGCAGAGAACTCAGCTGTTTGATACACTAGTCAACTTCTTTCCGGACAACATGACCCCTCCTAAAGGCAACCTGGTAGACCTCATCACGCTGTAACGGAGCAATCACTGGACATGTGGAAGAGGGGAAAAGCATCCATTTTCAGTATTTTAATTTTTTTACTGCATTGATTGACTGCTGGGATGAAGTAATATAGTAACCCCTAGATGTTTGAAAGGGGTTTTATACTTGTATGGTGAATCCCTGAAGCTTTTCCCTTGGAGTAGGTTAATAAAATGTAACTGACGTACTTCCGACTAAATATATATATTTTTTCTGACTTTGGATTTTTGAGTTAGCAAATGTAAGATGAAAAGGTGGGGGAAAGAAAAAAAAAAAAAAAAACACAACTCCAATCATGTGGTGATCGTTTTTGCCTGTAGGGGAAAATTGAGATTTGTGGGTTGGCTGGAATTAAAGATGATGGGTTTTATTTTGGGTTTTTTGAGAAAGGGGGGGGAGGTTCTTCTTTGCTCATTTGTAGCTAGTCATGATATATTGCTTTATCCTACAACTCCATCCTCAGCAGCTGAATAACTTGGCGGCAGGGCACTGGCACGCGTTGAGGTAATAGTAATGTATGTGTCTTGAGTCTTGTAATCGCAGTGTGTCATGTGAAGGGGAGCACGTGTCGCAAATTATCTGTCCCCTCATCCCAGAACTGGGCTGACAGTAGTGTCTAATTGCATCTGATATCTGGTCTAAACCTAAATGCCTATTTTCTGTTCTCTGGAGCCTTCCACTTAGACCTGACAGGCAAGTGGGAACCTCAGAGAAACCGCTGGAAAACAGGAGTGCAGTCATCGTCTGCACGGCCCCCTTTCAGGGTTTGTTCTGTTTTTCACTGCTGTGCTCTTCTGATGAGAAACCATGCAGGTCCTCACAGAGCCCGGCAGAACTGGGTCTTCCACCATACGCACACCCAACCTCTGCAGCCTGACTCTGGGTTGGGTGTAGGATTTCTGAAGCAGATTGTCTTCGTTTACATGCACCTATGCTTCTGTGTGTGTTTGTCAATGTGTAAATGTAAAGAGGATTGCTCCGAACAGCTTGTCTCCTTCCTATGTAGTGCAGCTCATTCACTTTTACATGCATTTTAGATCTAGATCTGAATGTGAGGGAGGCCTTTTTAGCATAAATCTCTTTGAAAGCAAGCTGATGCATATGTATAGAAAATATATGCTTCCTCGCTGAAAGCCTTCTTTATAAATAAGGTAAGGGCTTGGTGCTGAAGTGGAATGAAGGATATGCATACCCAGCATTAGAAACTTTCTGCATTTGGTGTCAGTGAGCATTCAGTACAAACTGGCAGATGTAAATATTTATATGAGAGTGCAAAGCTTTATGTCCAGAAATGTTCATGCCAGTAGGGTGTCATTGCTGCACCCACTGTGGCTACACGACTCCTGTTGAACTTGATGGAAGTCTTGTGTGTGCAAAGATGATCTGAACTCTTGAAATAAAGAGTTAGTGAAGTGTCTTTCTCAGAGCTCGAGTGTCTGCTTGCTTTGATTGCATTGTATTACCTCTTTATCATGTTCTTTGTGTGACTTTTGTAGTCCTGGTACGTTAGAAATAAATCTAAAAACTCATACTAGTGTTTAATCACTTAGAAGGGAACTGTGTCTTAGAGGCTGGCCTTTGCCTTGTCTTCAGGGAAGACTCTACAAATACAGTGTTTTTAAGTAACCTGTCACTTGAGACTGTTTAGACATTGTATACTTCAGTGGATGGCAAATCAGATGTCTGTGGAAGAATCCACTCAGTACATAGTGCAGTAAATGAAATCTGATGAAATTGTTTCTTTGAAACATTGCATTTTTTTTTTTTGTTCCCCAGTGCCATGGAAAGTTCTATGTCACTGCTAGGCTTTGCGATGTGCTACCTTTACTAACGCTTTGTTAACTAGTTAAAGTAAAGCTTATAAGGTACGGATGTAGATACCAACTGCTATACCAGGGGAATATTCCAATGGAGGCGTTGTTACCGTTGAGATTGAACTGAGCACTTTCAATGCAACCAGCCAAAATGCTGCAGCCCTCTAGTACTTAAAATCTTAGTGCTGCTGTGCTCCCTTACACTTGATCTCATTGCCTGTGTATTCTCCAACTTCAGTTAGATGATTAATTGCTTTTTGTGACAGTTTTCTAATCAACTAAGCTCTTCGTAAACTTTTACACATACACCCTCAATGACTACGTGTGAGGCTGAACCCAAAAGATGCAACTAGACTGAGGAGCCACAGCAAGCACACAGTGGAAGTTTAGGAATGCCAGAAGCTTTGTGAACGGTGTTGCTGGTGTCAGGCTTGGTTTGTGCTATAGAAATTCGATCAAAACTCATTGTCCTCTGCGTCGGGGGTGCATGCAAAGCCTGACAGCGTGGCTCCGTTTTTTGTAGCATAGCGTAAATGAATGATTTGTCTGAGCGAGGTGAACATTGCTTCTGCAGGACTGACAATCCCAGCTAATGAGAGCACTTCAGGATGATCAAATATTGACCTACCTTTATCCTGAGCAGATCGATTTCAGCTCGCACAAGTACAGTTTATGGGTTACAGCTGGTGATTAACCAGCAGAAGCTATTTGCTCAGCTTCGGAGTATTTGTTGAGCAGCAGAGGCACCCTGTGGCCAGAGAGGTTAATCCAAAGTGAAGGTTTCCTGTGGCTTTGCCAAGGGTCTTTCCAGGTTCTGTGTCCTTAAAGCTGGGAGTCAAAATTAAATTATTTCTTTGCATTGATCTATGCTACACTACCTGATTTAAAACCTGATTAAAATTTCTGAACAGTGAAGTATAAATTTCCTTTCAAAATAAGCCAGTTATTGACAAGCAGTTACAGGGAGAGTTTGAATTTAATTACATGCAGATCTTTAAAGATACTGGTGATATTCCAGGAAAGCCTGAGATGTGAGCATTACAGAAATACTGAAGTACAAACAGAAAAGAGACCCACTTGATCTGAAAACAGCCACCTGAAAATGCTTCACAGCACAGTGCATGCAATGTTATAAATACACAAGCTGTACCTGAGAAGTCTTTGAGCCTCACCCTTACTGCTTGCAGGCTGTAGCAGAGATGGCTTTTTAGCTTAGACAAGACAAACATACGGTATTTGCCTTTACCTTATGTTAGAAGGCGACTTTGTGTATGGATTTAACACCGAGTAATCTTTGCACTAGACTAGCTTATCTCTAAATTATGTGTTAACTTGTAAATAAGGTACTGCAAAAGAAAGCATCGTTACTTGTCAGAGAGGGACTCACTTATGATGACTGGGGTCTTTACAGCCAAAGTTTCGAGGTTGTGATATGTTTTTTAAAGCTGTAGGAAGTCGGAGTGGAATAAAATTGGTACAGACATCAAGACTTCAGTCCTGATTAGCGTTTCTTTTAAAGTTCTTTTGAGATCCGTGAGTTTGGTTCTTCACTGACACTGGCCTTCAGCATAGTTGCCCTTATAATATTATTCAGTAGATCGTCTCTTTGGAAAACATGAAATCATTATTTATGCAAAGCTATTCCTATCAAATGACACGTTTTCCTAGAGAAATAAAACTCTTCAGATTTGATTTTTGGTCACTTGGATTAGGCAGAGTTAAGTGAGTTTCTTAATGTTTGTGTTGTACAACCCCTCATAGTAGTCACAAGGCAGAAGTCCCTAAGAGTTCTGCCAAAATGACTTCTTGTCCTGGTTTCGGCTGGGATAGAGTTAATTTTCTTCCTAGTAGCAGGCATAGTGCTGTGTTTTGGATTTAGTAGGAGAAGAATGTTGATAACACACTGATGTTTTTAGTTGTTGCTGAGTACTGCTTATGCTTGTCAAGGACTTTTCAGCTTCCCATGCTCTGCCAGGTACACAAGAAACTGGGAGGAGGCACAGACAGAATAGCTGATCCCAACTGCCCAAAGGGCTATTCCATACCATTATGACATCATGCTCAGTATATAAACTGGGGGGGTTGGCCGGGGAGCAGCGATCGCTGCTCGGGAACTGTCTGGGTATCGTTTGGCGGGTGGTGAGCAATTGCATTGTGCATCACTTGCTTTGTATATTATTATTGTTATTATCATTATTATATTATTATCATTACTATTTTACTTTATTTCAATTATTAAACTGTTCTTATCTCAACCCAGGAGTGTTTCTCACTCTTACTCCGATTCTCTCCCCCATCCCATTGGGGTAGGAGGAGTGAGCGAGCGGCTGCGTGGTGCTGAGTTGCTGGCTGG